TAGAACCTGAAATCTGCACCATCTGAATTTGTCACCCAAATTAACTGCCTGTGTGTCTTTGGACTCTCAGCAAGAAGAAATTATTACAGCTTTTAGATCTAAATCACTGCTGCTTAAAACACTATGACCTTGCAAGGGAAAGGAAGGTAGTGCTTTTAACCCAAGCAATAGAAATGCAGGTTCGAAGTGACTTGTGTTTTGCAAAGGCACACAGAACTTTCCTGGAGGGGGCTTGTGGACATTATGGTGTCCCTGACCAGTGCCAGGCCACCTCCTGAAATTCTCTGCCAATTCTCTCTACAGCTTAACCACAACCTCCCTTGAGGTGGGAGAATGGATGAGAAATACAAGGATATGTCTAGGAATGGAATTCAGAACAAGGGGAAGAAACAGAGGTTATCCACTGTGTTGGAACCATACTTTCTTCAATTCTACCTGCTTAAGTCTCTGCAGATATAAGAAAAAACTAGACTGCTTAACCTGGGCCAGAAAAAGTGGCTGAACAAGAAGTCAGTAGGTTCAAACCAATGAAGTAACAATAGAATAGTTGCCAAAGGGAGTGATTATTTACAGAAATATGACAAACTTCAAAATCAGTGACAAATGTCTTTGAAGGGTAACAGAATAGAGAATGCTTTCTAATGAGAAATGCAAAGATTAATTTATGTCTGAATGAAATATTACAATCTAACTATTTAACAGCTTTCTAGAGTTAATTAGTGATGGATGAAGGGTCCAGCTTCTTTTGCCTGCCTTTCAGAGCCAAATAAGGTTTAGTTGGAGTCAGTAAGGTTCAGCTACCCTGTTCTAGAAACTCAGGAGCAGACTCTAACATGAAAATGAAGAAATCAAAATCATTAAGCTTAGCATGTAGTCTAAAAATTAGCATTTGTCACAAAAAGTGTATCTAAATCCAGAAGAAGGAAATTAGTCATTTTATAACGTGAATAAAAGGAAATCTTTTTCTAATGAGGCTGTGGGAGTTGAATACCTGCTATGGCAGGAGGTGGATTGTGCAGAGTGCCACTGCTCTGGAAGTGGCAGTATACAGTACTTGAAGCAAAGGAGCATTGTCTTGAAAAGAGGTGCTGAGGGCTGATTCAGAAGCATATTTTTGCCAAGAAATGCAATTTTCCCTCTTTTGTGCTTTGAATAAAGCCAACTCTATTATTGATTTCCAAGGAGAGGACACTGACTAACAAATTGTGTCTGACAAAATTTCTTTGAGGTATTAAAGTACACTCAAAGTGGTTTTGCTCTAGTCCTATTTCAGATTCTAGTTGTTATATACAGAAATTGGAGAAATGGGAGGAATAAAAATCTTCCTGGAACACGTGTGCTTGAATCTATTTTGCATACCAAACTGTATTTTTACTATTTTGAATTTAGAAATCATGGGCTTTTGCAAGTATTAGTTAACTTTTAGTTTCAATGAATTTTTATTTTGGAGGGGAAGCTTCTTATTGTGCTGGTGAGAACCAGTCACAATAATCAAAACATAAACTTATCTTTTGGGGAGGGATGGGGAAGAAACATTTATCAGACTATGGTCTGATAGCAAAAATATAACAACTTACTCCACAGAAGCCAGCTAATATATTCCAAGTCCACCAATTACTAATTTTGTAAAAATTGGTGTAGTCTTACTCTGGTATATTAATCGAGTAGCTGATTTTATGGTAAAGTAATTACAATACTTCAGTAAAAAGTAAAGCAGAAGAAACAACTTACAACAATAGCAGTAATTGCAAGTTGTCTACATAAACCTTAATAAAGCCAATCCTGGTAGCTGAGCATGTTCTGAATTAGTTTTATGTCAGTTTCCCAAACTGCAGAAGAAAAAAAGGAGAAAAAAGCTGATGTAATGGCTAGTGAAGTACCATGTGAAATGAAGCAAAGAGGTGAGAAAAGATGCTGAAAAATAGTGCAACTGGCCTGTAATACATCCCACAAACCAAATGTCCTGGAATATTAAGCATCTGGTGTTGTGTTTCAGGCTTCTCAATTTCTGTGAACAGCATGGGAACAAAAAGCATGGCTTTGCTTTTTTAAAGCCTTGTGAAACTCAAAAAACTGGGAGAGGAAACAAACCTCTTTGAAACACAATGATGCATTTGAGACTTCCTCTTTTTGCTGGATGTGACTGATTGGCAGTGATGAAAGATGCAAAAGATCTTGTCTTTGCACAGTCAAAGTCTTGATTTTTGCCTCCCTGGATACACAAAGTTCTAAGGCTGTTTAAAATCAGGCATGCAAATGTAGGGGGTTTTTTTGCAGGAGTGATGCAGAATTGGAGAGTTGCAGGACCAAATTTCTTAGGGAATTGGAGTAAGCTACAGAATGTGAAAATTTCTGCACAATATTTGTGGTGCCTGTGCAAAAACATTCACTTCCACACTTTTCCTGGGAGGTCTTTTGAGAGGTGATTGGGAATGTGGTACTCAGTGCAGCTTGTCTTTCACTGATTCCCCTGTAGGATTAGCCAAGCTGCAAAGTGCCTCTGAGCCTCTCATCATTCTCTTATGACTTCTCACTCTGCAGGCCAAGCTGGACAAGGGATGCAGCTCCTTTGTTTTTTCATTTGGGGAAATCTTGGGGCCAGCTCTGTAATTAGCAAGGGTCTGTAGAACTGTGACTACTGCTGTCCAGAATGCCTCACAGCATCTCCCTTTGATGGAACATTTGTATCAAATTAGAACCTATTTTATCTTTAACAAAAGTTTATTGCTAGAAGAAATAATTAGTTCATTTTTTAATGACTTGAAGGTCACCTGAAGAAATCTTTACACACCTCCAGTGTTTTCTGAAGGGACATTGTGGATCAGAAGAAAATTGAGATCTAATCTAATGGTAGCTTGTTTGTTCCTTGGGTTCATTACTTGGTGTTTTCTGATACTAACTGTAACATGCTACAATAAGAGAATTCACCATTGCTTATTCCAATGACAATAGTTTGATGGAAAATGTGGCTGCAGTATCATTTTGTATGAAAGGCAAACTGAGTGTCTGATCAGTGTACAAAGAAGTAGAAAAATAAATATGAGGTAATAAAAAATAGGAGCTAGAGCGAAAACCTAAAATATGCAGAAAAAGGCTGGCACAACATGTCAGGTAGACTTTTTCCTCATCATTTTTTTCTTCCCTGCTGAGGCTTGTTCACTATCTAGTCCTGCATATTCATATGCTGGAATTGAGTGTCAATTTTGTAAACTAAATAATGAATTCATCAGTAGTGTTTTTCTTTACTGTGTGGTTGAAACATAAAAATATAGGAAAATGTAGGAAAAAAAAGCATAGAAATCTGAATAAAATCTTGATCTGAATTATATTAGGTATGTATACCAAATTCACAAAATTAGGGACTAGCCCCAGATACTAACCTCAATAAGTTCTGAATTCACTGATTTGAACAGAGGTCTGATGGGAAAGAAGTGACTTTGTCAACATGATATATATTAGGCTGCAGAGCCTATACATTAAGTGAAATTCAATGCTGTTCTTCAAAGAGTTGCAGCTCATAACTCACACCCATGGAATGGCGTGTGGCATAATTTTGAAAGCCCCAAGGAACTGTCTAAATTAGTGCAATCTGTCTCTGCCTACAGGCCAGCAGCACTGCAACTCCTCTGCAGCTCTACCTGCAGCAGTCCCGCTTTTGAAAAACCTGCCCCATTTTCTGGTTTGTCTCAGGTGTGTCTCTTTTTGCAGAGTTTGTGAGGCACTTCTTAGAGACTTTATGCTAAACCAGTCATTTCACTTAGCTGGAAGTGATGAATAAAAACCTCATCCCAGGAAAACAGTATTGATGGCTTCAGATACACAGGATAGAACTGTCTGTGTTATTGAGTGATACCAATCTGTTCTTTCTGCAGAGAAGAACTGAATCTGAATAATCCTTCCCATAAGATGCATGTACTTAAAACTGTGAAGTGTGAAGATGATGATAGCAGAATGGTTCTTGTTGCAAGACTGGAAACCATGACAGTGCTTGCTTAAGCTGTTGAAGAATCTGTAAGTGAATGATCTGGTGAGACCATCTATATTAGTGCAAACTGCAGCAGAGTTAGCTCTCAGCTATCTGCACTGGAGTTAAGAAATATATAAATCAGGGTGGAACTTTGAGTGTAGATTCTAAAATGCAGATGATTTTTTTGCACTTTTGAGTAATTTGACATCCATTTTGAAGAACTGTCATGGATTAGAGCTATTAGAATGGCTGGAAGCCTTTGAATTCTGAGAGTCTCTGTATACATGGAAAATAATGGTTCAGAACAATACCAAGGCTGTAAAATTGTATTAAGAAGTCACTTGAATAATGAAGGGTTAGAACTCCAGCTTGTAGACTTGCAAAGTGTACTGGTTTTGGTGAAGCCATGTCAATTTACATTGTCTGAAAAATTTGCTTTAAGAGTGTTGAATAGAAGATAATCATAATCTGTTTAAATAGGTGTTTTTTTCTTTCTAAGAAAAAATATTTAAAAATTGTTTTCTGTACTAGCTGTTCTAAAACTTCTGGATAATCTTTCACTGTTTGCCTGAATTCATACAAGTAAACACATTTCTGACTTCTGATTGGGAACTTCAGAACTATAATTTAAAAACCTTGTTGGAAAAGTTGCATCAAAAATTTAATCATAAAAGCAAAGCCTAAGGTATGGCCCAATATTAAAGCCAACTCACTTATAGCTGACATAATATTTCTGCACAAAACAAAGGTGTGTTTTATTTGCAGTAGGTCAAATGTTAAATCAAAAATATGTGTAATTTTTACCAATTAAATATTTCAAAAGTTTTCTTAGAAGCTTCCACTGTGAGTACTCCTGTATTAGTGCCATTCAAAACAATAATGAAAAGTAAGACAAAACCCAAGGACTAGTGAAGTAGTGCACAGCTAAGGTTAGAGAGAACTTGGCAAGGAAAGGAAGCCAGGCTTCCCAAGTGCCAGGTTCAGGCTCAGTTTGCAATATAAACCTGTCTGTTCATGCTTTTAGCACTCAGTGGAACTGAACTGATTGGCACACGATGTTTTCTGGATGGCTTTAGAGCAAGCAGCGCAGTCTCTTGAGACAGACATTCCCTCTCCCATTGAAGGTAAGCTCTTCTCTCTCCTTTTCCTCAGAAGTTAAAGAAGAGTTTTATGCTTACTTGGCAATGTAAAAATAGCACTGCTGAATATGCTTTTAACTCTTAACTCTATTTCAAACTAATTTTCTTTTTTAAGTCCATAACATTAACACTGCTAGTCTGAAAATTCTGCAACTCTTGGGAGAGAAAGTGATCATCGTGAGAGACTTTGGTCCTAATGACCTCTGAGCTGTAAAATCCAGCAGGGACTTGTTGAACATCTCTTTTCCAGGTGGTCAAGACAGACAGTACCTTCTGAAAAGAGGCTTTCTGTGGTGTGATGGGAGCATGAGCTTAGCAAATCAGGCTGTAAACAATTTGCTGGCTAAAATATCCATTATTTTGTGAAACACTTACTGGGGGAAAAATTAAATTTAAAATTGCTGAAAAAAAATTTTAATTCTAATTTTTTTTAAGAAAATGTTTTTGCACAGCTGACAGGTTATTCTGTCTCTGGAATGTTGGTTCTAAAATGTTGTTATTTCTGGTAAGAGCTGTGAGGATCTAGGGGAGAAGAATCAATATTTAAAATAAGATACCATTAATTACTAAGCAATATATTTTCTTGTATGTATATATTTTCCTCCCTGACAAAAATTAGATTTTGCTGGTTTAAGAATGTAGGTCTTCAACACAGAGCACTTTTGTAACCCTATGGACTACAGGAAGTTGAGGAATGTGTGGGAAAAACAGCTTTTGCAGACTTCTTTTTGCTGCTGAAACAATCAATTTGCTTTTTCTATGAGCAATTACTAAATATTGTGTGAGCATATCTTGAGGTAATGTGGTATTTGTCCTCTCAGTGTTGGAAGAAAATACCCAGATCAAAGATTATCTCAGTTAGTTTTATGACATAAGCCCTAAGTATGGTAATTAAGAAGAAGTAGTGCACATCTGGTATCTTGTGATAATGGATCATCAGAAATGAAAATTACGTGACAGTTTTATACAATGTGTAGTTCCAATCCCATAGAACTCTTAAAAGACAACATTTGTGGGAATAAGTAATGGGTGGAAGGAGATTGATTAGAACCACCTGCTGTTTACTGTGAGATGCTACAGATGATTATGATATAAGGAAAAAGAATGCAAAACACTTATTTCAATGAAATTAAGGATAAAAATTACATCTGATGTCACTAGATAGAAATAAAAGAACTGTTAAAAATTATAACATCAAGCATCTAAAAGCTGCAAAGCATTTAGTACATAGCAAGGTAGGGCAGAATATTAAATAGCTGGAAATATGGAAAAATAAAATATGAGCAAATGGTACTACTCTTTTATCATCAGTAAGTAGCTTTAGGCATAAATAGTCCTCTTGAAATCATCTGGATTTTTTTTTTTTTGGTGCAAAAGGAATAAAGTTTTAAATAAGAGGAAAAACCACTAAAAGTTTAATAAGCACCCTGTGAGAATTGTGGTAATTATTGAGGTCCTGCAAGGTCATTATTGGTAATTGAAATCTGATCACTTTTAAAACCCAACATGCCCAAGCCATTCCAAAATGTTATATGTAAGTACACTCTTTAAAACATTCCTTGAGGGAGCATGAAACCAAAACAGGAATTCAGTAATTTTAAAGCAGCAATATATTATTAAATTTGTTTAGTAGATGTTTAATTGGAATTCATACATTTAAAAGAAATTATATGAGAAGGTGGGGAATTCTTTGGAGCTGAACAATGGAGAGGAGACATTTTGAAAGCTGTGTAAATGAATTACAGACATGGGCACCACAGCTTCCATCATTAGGAAAGAGCCATAGAGAAAACATGAGGCAGCAGTGTTGTCTCAGTCCCAGAAGTGATTTAAGCCTTTTGGACTGTACATTCAGAGGTATTTTCCATAAAAAAAATGTTGGACTTCCTTTGAAAAGTCTGTGCACCTTCAGCAGAACTTAGACACTTGAATATATATAAATAAAAATGGTACTGGGGGGGGAAGATGTTTAGCAGAAAAACATGGAAGCAATTATTTTGTAAATACAATGTCTGCAAATGAGAAAATATAATCCCAAAGTGGAAGTGCTGAGTCCATTTTATTGGTTTACTGGGAAAAAAATGGATGACAGTACAGTGAACATAATATTCATGTGTGCAAACTGTGTGACAGAAAAAAATATACAAATCTAGTAATATCTTGAGTAATTTAACTTTTCTAGTTCCTTTACACCAGTCAGTTTTTTTCTCCAAGCATCCAAGTTGAAGATTGGCTGGGTTTGAAAAATTGATTTCTCTGTACTTTATCAGACTTTCAGATCTCTTTGGTGACAGCTTCTTAGATCAGTCAGTCAGACTCCCATGATTGTCTAAGACGGCAGCTGGATTATTTTCAGACATAACCAGTGCTGCCAAATATCTTTCACTGAGTTTCCACTACTTTGTCATACTTTTTATTTCTACTTAAAGAAATGCCACCTTACATACCACCTTAATTTCCTTTTTTGAGTGCTTGGGTGTATCCTATATACTTAGAAGTATTCAGCTGCTATGTGAAAATGTAGTACCATCAGCAAAGCAAAAAATATTCATGGATGCTAAATTTCTTGCTTAAATCATAACGTATCTGGAGTACACATCAACATACATTTTTTTATTTTTCAAAAACTAGAATGAAAAAATCTATGAGGATAATTAAGAGTACTGTTAATTAATAGTACTGTTAATTATCAGTTAGGGGTTTGGCTAAAAAAAAAGAAAAAAAATGGAAACAAAACACAAAAAACCTTTGAAAATTGCCTTAGTGAAGGCAATTCTTTATACATGTTAATATACATAAAATAAAGATTGAATTACATTTCAAATTGTCCTCTTTAGAGCAGTGCTGATTTGAGAACAATTCTGATTAGAAGGGGAGAAAATAAAATCTCAGTGGATTATTGTTATCAAAGCCAGAGAAAATTCTTATTCAGAGAAGTGCTATTACCTGAACAGTCCTTGTGTGCTTTTAGACAGACTTGTGCACTGTCGTGCTCCCACCTGACCTGAGGCACTGGCATCTGGGAATCCATTTCAATATTTATAACCCTGTTTTCATTCTGACTGCTACAAGCAGGGGAAATGCTGTTTCACACCTTCCTGCTGGTAGAGCTGACTCCATACAAGCAGCAAGGGAGGTCAGGCAGACCCTTGGGCTGACAGATTTCAAGAGGAATAGCATTCCAAACAGATCTTCAGGAATTACAGGAGCTTTAAAGTGCTGCTGGTGATCTGCACTTTGTGTTCTTGACACTTGGCAATTTCTGGCCTATGATGTTCCTGGAGTCAGGCATTTCCAGCTCACTGCATGAACACTGGCATCTCTTAATGAGCACTTCCATCAGAATGGCAGCTGCTACTCAGCACTTGGGGCTCCTCTATTGTCCAGGGTATATTATGACTTTTTGATCCTCCTCTGTGTAACTGTGATTGCTTGAATGATTTCACCTTGCTGGATTTCCCTGACAGAACTCTGTGACATGACAAAGATTCTAGTCCCTGGCATTATGGTTTATGAAAAAGTTAAGTTTTAAAGCTAAGTTTCTATATCTAATCATAGGAATAAAAGGCAGATGATCCACATATTGAATAATGTTAGAAACAAGGAATTGGTGGTGAAAATGAAGTTATTTCATTTCTGTATTATGTTATGTAGCTTTTCATAACCAATTACACAATGAAAAACATCGCAGTATCTTCCTGAGTGATAATGGCAATTCTAGATTTTTCAGCACTTTTGTAAAAAGGGAAATCTAATTTGCTTATTACTAGTATGGGAATTGTCTGAAGGGCATCAACAGAGAGTGCTGTCTCTTTAGATACATATTGAAAGTAGGATGTGGTCCTAGCCCAAGAGAAGGGAATCAAAGGAATCACTTTCCCATTTGACAGAATAAAAAATGTATAGCAAGACATAGAAATAAGCAAGTTACTTTGGATATGTTATCTTGGACAGTGTCGCCTTTCCCTTTTTAGGTAGTGCCCCTTGTCAAGCTCAGAACTCTCTATTTTGTTGAGATAAATGTCAGTCCTCAAAGTCCTGCATGTACTCGCTCTGGAATCACACAGGGACGGAATATCTGCACTGATGGAAACCCTGCATTTGTGTATTGAGTCATGCTTCTCACTGAAGTCCATTTCCTGTGCTGCTGTTAAATAGAAATGTAGTCTGATGTGACAAGTCCCAATCCTTGTTGTATGCAGTCATTAAAGATCCCATTATCTACTTCCTGAAACCTAAGCCACACATTCTACTGTATGAAATCTTCAGTTGGATTCCCTTCTTTTATAATACATTTCTTCTAGGTATAGTGGAGATCATATGAACGAAGTGAAAAGAAAAGAAAAAAGAGAAGAGAAGAGTGGTTTTTGACCTGTCTTCTTCTAGTGAAAGACTAAAAGGTTATTCCCTAGGAAATGTTGAGGTAATTTGTTACCTTGTTTTATGAGTGTGCTGTTAAATAGCTGATATGTTTCCAATGAGAGGAGGTGGCAGTAGTGAAGTTAAATCAATTGCTTTGGTGGAATAATCCCCAGAGCTTGATAATTGATTGCATTTTACTTTAGGTTTGCACAGTCTTTTGATGTTCCACAGGACCAAAAGCAATACAGAGTTAGGAGGTTGCTTCTATTTATTAATGAGGATTTTTTAGCACTGAATCTATATGAATGCAAAGTAGAAGTTGAGATACTGAGAAATGCAGACAAATGAAGATTCTGTCTCCTCTCTCTCTACCCCTCCCTTTCCTTTTCTTTTCCTTTGTCAATAACAGTTCATTCTCTTGATTCAGGAAATTGCAGAATTAAAGGAAAGTGAGTTCAGAATGAAGTAATTAACTAGATGAAGACAAATCAAATCAATTATCTCTATTACAGCTTCCTTTTTAGGTGATAATTGGGCTAGGTACAGCCCGACCCTAAGGAGATCGCACGATGAAGGAAAGTGTTATTATTATCAGAGTAAAATCAGTACTAGGGGAGGATTAA